ATAAAAGTTATTGAAGTAAAGTGGGTGTTCAAGTTGAAACACAATGTTGATGGGTCGATAGCAAGACATAAGGCAAGATTGATAGCTCGAGGATTTCTTCAGAGAGCAGGACTCGACTACTCTAAAGTATTTGGTCTAGTAGCAAGATTGGAGACTATTCGACTAGTGATAGCCTTGGCATGCAAGCAAGGCTGGTAGACATTTCACTTAGATGTGAAGTCTATATTTTTGAATGGACCCTTAGACAAAGAGGTTTATGCACTACAACAAATAACACTTTTCATGACAAAGTTTTCACGTCATCCAAAAAAATAGAGGTTTTATTCCAAGGCACACCATTTTTTTTAAAACAACTTGTTCCCTCGGTTATTTTAAAAACTAGGGATATACCATTCGGGACATGCTTCAAATCTCAGATACTACACTTTATGTTTTTATTTATTTACAAGTGTAACATAAATGATCTAATCCTTCAGTTTCTTTGATAACCCGAGGGATAAAATAATCAAGTTTTATTATAAAAATGCTCGTTGAACACATCTCACCCTAATGTTATCTTATTTGTAGCCGCCCCACTGTCGAATGCATCATTTTTTTGGTATGGATTGTAAAACTCAAGAAAAAAATTTCTTCTACCTTGAACAAAACATATTTTCAGCTTTTGAAATCCATCTCAAACAACGGTGTTGATGTTGTCGTTGTTGTTGAAGGTTTTGAACAACTATGATTTATTCCTAAAAAAATTTATTCATGGATTGCAAGTGTAGAAAAAACATTTTCCAATTTTTGGAACAAACACCTTATTATAAGTTGGATGCATTCAAAGTATATACATTGTATATGTTAATGAATGCAATGATAATGATAGCACCAACAATCAATCTTGGATGCAAAGTTGACATTCAAGTATCAACATATTTATGATGGATTGCAAGTGCATAAAAATCATTGAAGAGATTTGTTATAAACAATTGATTTTAATATTATTTGCAGATAATTTAATATTAAAAAATTATTATAATAACTATCACCTTGATTTTTAACCTTAACCGAGATGATAGTTTAAAATAATATAATAATAATAATAATAATAATAATAATAATAATTTTATCTAGGTTTCATAAATAAATTGAGGAGTATACTAGTCATATTTTACTATAAAAGAAATCGTTAGGTTTTACCCTAATTCGTGGTAATATGAAGCAGCCCCAAACTCACATCATTATTTTAGATAAGTTACAAGACAAAAAAAAATCTTCAATGTTCTTCTATCTAGAACAAAACATTTTTCAGCCTTTGTAATCTATCTCACAAAATGGTGTTGTATTTTTTTTGGAGAAATGTTGTTGTTGTTGTTGTTGCTGTATTTTTTGCTCATTTGATAGATTGCAAGTGTAGAAAATAATTTTTCTTCAAGTTAAACAAAGAAGGGAGCTCAACCTTTAAAAGGTCAAACAAAGATACGAGCTTAACTTTTCAGAAGATGAATGTCAGTAAAAAATAAAATTCTTACGGGGAAACAAATCTCTAGCATCTTGTGTGGGATATGGACATGTTGTATTTTTAATTTTCTGGGTAAACAATCTTGATATTCTGCGAAGACTTGTTGTATAAAACGTATTTTTAATATTCTGGGTAAACAATGTAATTTTTCTTGTAAAAAAAATCTAACCCCTCGATTTTATTCCAAAACCGAGAGGATAGTTAAATGTTATTTTTCACTATTTTCAACGGCCTTAAAAAATCTTTGTCATCCATTTAAAGGTTATCAGCGCTCAAGAATCTGTCATTAGTGATCTGCGTGAAACCTACGGGACATCCATTATGTAAGTTCTCTTACGATATTCGAAATCTAACCTAAATAAAACATATGAAGCGCTTGAAACCTAAGGACGTTTGGAAAAGTTCTTTACGATGGATTGCAAGAGCACAAAATCGTCTAGGTTCAAAATCTATTTTATTAAATTTTTATTTGTACCAAAAATATTTTTGATTATTGATATTAATTATCTTACCCTTTTTTTACCAGAAACAAATCCATGCAAGATCCATAGAGAATATTATTGCACCCAATATTTGATCTTCCCCTAGATTCAATAATTTGAAGATCTAAAGTCTAAATCTTGAGGGAATTTGATTTTTATCTAGATCCCTAGAGAATTTGATTTTTATTTTGATTTAAATATTTTGGGTAAACAATGTAAAATTATGGGTAAGAAATATAACAATTAAAAAAAAATTAAATAATCATATCCCTCAGTTGTTTTGATAAACCGAGATAAAAGATATGCTAGTTTTGAAAATAATAAAATTTGTTGTTGTTGGGATTTGAACTCATGCGATAATAAAACTTATACTTCCGTTTTTTAAACACCGAAGTGATAAGTTTTTACTTTTTATGACGACCTTATTTACTCTGTTTCTCTTTGCTGAGGTAAAACGCATTTCGCGTATGAGGTTAGAAGCGTTATTTGTAGTAGTGATGTCACACAACTTCCCGAACCTCCTGCATTTGTGATTCAGAAGGAAGCGAGTAAGGTGTATAAGTTGCACAAAGAACTTTATGGCATAAAGCAAGCACCTAGGGTATGGAACAAGAAAATCAACTCATACTTAATCAAATTGGAATTCGTCAAATGCAAGTTTGAGTATGGTGTCTATGTTTAGGTTGTGACACAAAATATAACAATCACCTGCTTATATGTCGATGACTTGTGGTAACTGGAAATAGTTTGAAGAACTTGTCGAAGTTCAAAGAGTTGATGATGAGGGAATTTAAAATGTTGGATCTGGGAAAATTGTCTTATTTCCTAGGCATGGAATTTCAAATGCCGAAGCAAAGAATGATGCTACATTAAAGAAAGTATGTCAAAGAGATACTCAAGAGATTCATGATGGATGATTCGACTCCAACATCTTCGCCCGTTGAACCAAATTTGAAGTAGGAGAAGTATGGAGAGGAAGACAAAGTTGATGTAACTTTGTTTAAACAAATAGTTGGATCTTTGAGATATGTATGCAACATTCGACCTGATATAGGTTTCACAACTGGATTAACGAGCCGATATATGAGTGAACTAAGGGTGTCACACATGAAGACTGCAAGAAGAATCTTGAGATACTTAAAAGGATCGATAAACTATGGAATTCTACTTTGACGAGATTCTGAAAGCAAAGAAGCTACAATTACTTGCTATTCAGACGCTGATTGGTGTAGAGATAAGGAAGATCAAAGAAATATAACACGTTATTTCTTTCAAGTCTTTTGTGCCCTAATCTCATGGTGCTCGAGAAAGCAATTTGTGGTGACATTATCATTATGTGAGGCTGAATATATAGTAGGATCCTATGATGCATGTCAAGCAATTTGGATCAGATATGTGCTTGAAGAAATGGAAGTCGAAGTGAAGAAACCTCTGGTGCTGCAGATCGACAACATGTCAGCCATAAATTTCTCAAAGAATCCAATTCTGCGGAAAAAGTAAGCATATAAAAGCTAGACCGATTTGAACTTGAAGTAAGACATTGCTCAAGTGAAACACAATTGACCTACATTTTCACCAAAGGATTGAAGATCGACATATTCCTGAATTTGAGAAAGAAATTAGGAATAGTTCAAATCGACTATGATTAGCGTAAGTTCGACAACTTGGATTATAGGGGATATGTTGAGATATAAAATATAATCCAAGTTGAATAATCCAAGTTGAATAATCTAAGTCCAAGTCCAATTAAAGTTTGTTAGTATACTTAATGTACATGTTAGTTTTATATAAATAAGCATAGTTTGTAATCTAGTTTATATAATTCAATTCAATAATAAAATCTTTATTTTCTTATTCTCTTTCTTTCTCCATTTACTAAAAATGTCTAACGCGCTAATATCAATATCATCATTTTCTAGGTCATCATAAATAAGAGTTACAAATAATTGAGGTAAGAAAGTTTTTTCTCATCTTTTAGTCTTTTATACTATGGTCTTTTATGTCATCTTCTTCGGCTTGATTCACTTAGTTCTCAGACACAAACCCTAGCACAACACCTTTTTTATTATTTTTAACCAAATATATTTTAAAAAAAAAATCTAAATCTTTTCTATTTAAAAAAGTGTTATCAAACTTGAGATTGTGTAAGCTAGACCTTAGATATTTGTTAATTGACCTGTCCTATTCTCAATCTCAATGTAGCCAATAAAACCCTTATGTTAAAATGGAGGACTCTTAATATATTAGTTGTAAAAATTGTTTATAGGTTGCGTTTATACACATGGTATGCTACAATAAGATAGATAGTATTAAACGACATAAAGCATAGAGTGTCCGAGAGTAAGACATTACAACCTGAACTTAGCACACCCAAAACAGCGACGGGGAATAATGAAAACCCAAACACATCGTTAAACTTAAAATATTGAACAACACAAAACACCGGAATCAACGCTCTCCATTTGTCATAACAAATCTAAACCACCGATCCAATCCAATCCAATCCCACCACGACACAACCCCAAAAAACACCAACGTTGACATTGTCTTTCATTCTTCCTCAGATCCCTGCATCAATCACAGGTATCATCTTTCCTCTTTGTCCTGATTCAGAATTCATTTCCAATTTTTTCTCTTGTTTACTCAAAGATCTCAACTATGTAGCACTAGGGTTTATAATAAGAGATCTCTCTTCTCTTCATAGATCTTGTTTGTTTCATTCTAACATTTTTTCTCACTTTATTAATTTATTTATAATTAGCCTTTGCTTTTCATTTTTCAAGTTAGGGTAGGACCATGTTTTTAATCTAGCATGTGTTCAAACTATATTTGTGTTATTTATTTCTGTTTTTTTGACTTGTATACTTAAAAACATGGTCCTAGGTTTTCTATGCACTAGAGTTGATTGGTAGTTGGAGTACTTATTTTGATTTTTGTGTGTTTGTGTGAGACAGACAGGGTTGAATGTAAATGAATGGTGTTGCGGGGAAGGTGAAGGAATGTCTTGAACTTAAATGAAGAAAGAACTTGCATGGCCGCAATTCATAAAAAATCATTTGATCATGGTTGGATCAAGACCCCGGTCACACTTAAAGAGGCCTAATTGGATTATTGTTTTAGTTTTCATAGTGTTTTTTTTTCTCGTTGCTGCTTATATTTATCCGCTGCGGAGTCCTTCCTCAACATGTTCTTTCTTTAACTCTCAAGGTTGTAGTTTTGATGGTAGTGGTAGTACGTATAGTCAGCCACCGCCTGTACAGGCCCGGCAATTAACGGATGCAGAGGTTGAATCTCGGGTTGTTATTAACGAAATTCTTAAGTATTATCCTGTTCAAACCAAGGTCCCTAAAGTTGCTTTTTTGTTTTTGACTCCGGGTTCAATACCTTTCGAGAAACTCTGGCACATGTTCTTCCAGGTATATGGCATTCCGATTCCATGAACCATATACTTAGATTTCATGTCTTCTTTCATAACAATGCATGCTATTTTTTTTTATAACTAATGCAGGGCCATGAAGGCAAATTCACTGTCTATGTACATGCATCCAAGGAAAAACCGGTACATGTCAGCTCCTATTTTGTTGGTCGAGACATCCACAGTGAACCGGTATGGGGTATATCTCATGATTTGAATATTAACCAGCTCTTTATATGACACTTTCAAGTTCTAGTATAAGCTTTAAGAAAGATAATGAGTTTGGTCGGTGCATGTTGTCTGATATATAAATTTAATAGAACACTTATCAATTGATTGAAATTTGTGGACATTTTCCCGTAGGTCTCATTATCGCATTTTCCCGCAGTTCTCATTATTTTGTTAACAATCAGCGCTCGGGAAAATGAATGGTCATTTAAGACTTATAATACAAATAATTACATTTATGTTATGATAGCATCATGTGTGTTATGCAAGTGTTACCTAGTTACATGTAATAACCACAAACTCTTGGTAATATCATGCCATCTGTTTCTTAGTAGCTAGTGCCGACTGGTTTTCGATTTCTTTCAGGTAACTTGGGGAAAAGTTTCAATGGTTGAAGCTGAAAGGAGACTTTTGGCAAATGCGCTTTTAGACCCTGATAACCAACATTTCGTCTTGTTGTCTGATAGGTAATTTTGTTAACTCATTCTTCTTCCTGATGCTAAGATTTTAGTTGGTTTTTGAGATTTGATCTGATCAATTGTATGTTCATTTCTGCTTCAGTTGTATTCCGGTGCGCCGCTTTGATTTTGTGTACAACTACTTGCTATTAACAAGTGTAAGCTTTATTGATAGGTAAGAAATTATTAAAAAAACTACAAATTAGTTGATGAAATTCGTTAAATTTTTTCGTTCATTGGCGATTCTACAGATTTATTGAATGGAAATTTGAACTAATCTGTCTTCTATCTTATATAATAAAAAGCTATGTGGATCTTGGTCCTCATGGAAATGGCAGGTATGTAGAACGTATGTTGCCTGAAGTAGAAAAGAAAGATTTCCGAAAGGGTTCACAGGTATATATTTTAAAAATAACAGAACCATAAATCATCCATTAAAGTTAACATTTGGATGAAAAATTGCTTTGTATCAAATGTAGGAAAACCAATGGAAACTTTTCTGCACGCGTCTGATTTTGATCTTATTGTTTTATATTGCAGTGGTTCTCCATGAAACGGCAGCATGCTATAATAACTATGGCAGACAGCCTATATTTTACAAAATTCAAACATCATTGCAGGGTACTATGTTACTAAGACTCACTGTTCTTTTTCTTGCTGACCAAGTTATTGTCTCCACTGTATCCCTTCTATGCTATTTGTAACGATTGTTGGAAAAGCGTAATATGTAAGAATAGCGTCACTGACCAAATTCTACTATTCATGTTTTAAATTTATCAGCCGAATATGGAGGGAAACCGCAACTGCTATTCCGATGAACATTACTTGCCAACCTTTTTTAATGTAAGTGAACCAATCTGTTCTCTTTTAAAGTAATATGGTAGCTATCTCTCTCCCTGCTAACTTGTTCGATTGTATGTTTAGATGGTTGATCCAGGCGGAATCGCGAATTGGTCGGTAACATATGTTGACTGGTCTGAAAGAAAATGGCATCCCAGGTCATTCAGGGCTCATGATATTACTTATCAACTTATGAAAAAAATAGCAGTATGTGTATTTTTTTTTCCTTGTCTTTTCATTGTTAATTTGCAGCATTCCGAAACATCTTTTATTTTCAATTCTATTTATAGTTACATTTACATTTTTATTGGCTGCAGTACATTGATGAAAGTCCACATTATACAAGTGATGCAAAGGTGCGTAACATATTTCATTCCCTCTAGTTTTGGCTCAAAGGTCCTCTCTGTAATTTAAGTTAATGAATTTGTCAATGCTTGCAGAAAACTGTGGTGATTACACCCTGTGAACTAAACGGCTCAAAACGATCGTGTTATCTATTCGCCCGGAAGTTTTATCCAGAAACTCAAGATAAATTGATTAAACTTTTGTCAAACTCCACAACATTCTAAAGCATTTATATGACACTTTATCATTCTTTGGTGAGTCAAAACCATGTCGTCCCCGGTACCATCTTTTGCACATATATATCTTATTTTGAGAAGTTCCTGAGGCAGATGGATATATTTATTGGCAAGATGCATAGATCAAAATTTGCTTTTCTGGGGCTTGATGGAACTGCTGAGCTTGTCTGGTTGGAAAATTTGTTGTGTTCCTATTTTACAATATTTTGTTGTGTTTGTATTTGAAACATGATAGATTCTCTAAAAGGATGAAAAGTTTTGGTTTCCTCGATAGGCTAAAGAGGGAGGGATAAGGTCTGGTGTTGATTTGACTCTAGAAGCTAACTGTTATTTATAAATGCACAAGTATTTGGTTTTGTATGAAGATTCATTTATAAAAATCATTGTTTTGAGCACGTTTTGTGTGAAAGTGAAATTGATGATGAGAAATATATTTGTCAGTTTGGTATAGTTGCATGATATGTGCGGAGTCTTTAGAGGAGAGACTGAAACAAGTGGTTAGACTCGTGTGGTTAATCAGTTTCAACTAAGGTCGAATAAAATCTGGAGTATTAGGCTCTGTTTGGTAAGTACAGCGATTGATTGATAAGCTGACCGATAGTTTATAATTTATAACTTATAGTTGATGGTTGATGACTGATAACTGATTACTTATAATTGATAAATTAATTATAAAATATTTGTTAAAATTAATGGTTCAATTAGTTGATAAATTAAAATGACATAAAAGATATTTAATATATAATTATTTTATTTTAAATTAAAATAAATTATAAAAGACAGTTGTAGGTTTTAGATAAAATAATAAAGATAAAAATAGAAGAAAAAATAATAAATTATAAACCAAGTGTCTGAAAAATAAGTTATATATTCGTGATAAAAAGTTATTATTAATTTTTTTATTATCGTATAGCTAATAAGTCTTAAGCTCAAAAAGTGTCCCGTAAGCCTTAAAATTCAATATTTGATTGGAAAGGGTAAAAATATTTTTGAATTTGCAATGACATCTTATTCGTGGATTTTCATTTTTCAATCCCCACATCAAAATGACATGTAATGTGTATAAAAACACTATGGATTAAATTCCAACGAGAGAATTAGAGAATATTATTATGTTATTTATAAGCCTAAATTGCCACAAGTAATTTATAAGCAATTTTAATTATTTTGAGGAATAAGCAAGCAAGCGTGAGAGTAAGAAAGTGTAGAATACTTGATTCTCTTGAAAGAGGAGATATTTATAGCTTCTAGCGTTGGGCCAAAATCTCTATATTAGGCTGGTCAAGCAAGTCCAACATAGAGACTGTCAGGTCCTACGTGAGTAGTGCGGACCCGCACGTGGTCTCCTACTTGGACGACGTCCTCCGCAAGGCCAAGAGGATATGTATGCGATCTTTTCGGGATCACGAAGACTCTGTGATATCCGGAGACGTTGGTGGCCGGCCCTACGAGGAGGATGCTCGGGAGGAGCATCTGTCCGTCGTGGGTGATCTTCGCCATACGCGAGGCCGAGTGAGGGGACCAGTCTTGGTCGACGAGTTAGTCGGAGTGTCCTCAAAGCCTCCATGATCGGAGGTGACCGTCCTTAGTCTACTCGGGGTGTTGTCCCCATGTGGTGAGGTTGTCTCCTCGTGGGAAAAGGTGGTAGTTGCCCGCTGTATTCGAGGGTAGAACCAGTCAGTGGTGCAGGTTAACACACTTGAATTGGACCTTACTGGGAGTTGGGCCCAAGGGAAGGCCCAATATGTTTCCGAACCGGGCAAGTATGTTTCTCTTGTAGAAACGGAGGATGTTGTGTGACGTGATTTTAGCCAGAGCTTCGGCTTCTACCCATTTCGTGAAGTAGTTGACGACTACAATAAGAAACTTGTTTTGATAGGTTCCTTGCACGAAAGGTTTGAGGATATCTATTTCCCACCATACAAATGGCAACGAGGAGAATAATGTTGTGAGCTCATGTGGGGGTGCGAGGTGCATGTCCGCGTGCCTCTGGCACTTGTCGCATTTCTTGACATACTCCTTGGCGTCCTGTTGCATGGTCGGTCAATAGTACCCTGCTCGCAGTGCCTTTCGTGCTAGGGATCTTTCGCCCATGTGTTGGGCGTTGATTCCCTTGTGGATTTCCCGCAGTATCTCAGGGATTGCAGACTCTTCGACATATTTAAGGAGTGGGATGGAGAATCCCCGACGGTAAAGTTTGTGTTTGAGAACCACGTACGAGCATGCCCGTCGTTTGGTAATGGCTTCCTCCCTTTGGTCTAGGGGAAGTTCCCCTTTTGTCAGAAAGTTGAAACCGGGGTTATCCAGCATGAGCTATCCCCGATGGCATTCACTTCGAGTAGAGCCGTGGACCTTTCAATGCTCGGGAGAGACAGAGATTCTTGTATGACTGACTTGTTTCCGCCCTTCTTTTTCGTGCTCGCGAGTTTTGAAAGTATATCGGCTCGCGTGGTACGTGTGTGATTTCTGCTCGGTCAAACTTTTTCATATGTTCTTTGACCAAGTTCAAATATTCAATGAGGCTGTTGTTCTTAGCCTGGTATCCCCCTTGAACTTGAGACGCGACAAGTTGGGAATCGGTGAAAATTTGTATCTCTCGCGCACCCAAATCCTTGTCTAATCTTAAACCTGTGAGCAGAGCCTCGTATTCTGCCTGATTGTTTGAGGTCGAAAAGAGAGAGTGTCCGATCACGACGCCTTCCTCGTTTTCGAGGAGGATTCCTGCTCCACTCCCAGTTGAGCTGGATGCTCCGTCCATAAAGACGGTCCACTTGTGCTCCTTCCCTGTGGGGGGTTGTGAGCGGTCATCTCCGCGACGAAGTCGGCCAGAGCTTGGGCCTTTAGGGACTTCCTGCTTTCGTACTGGATGTCGAATTCCGAAAGCTCCAAGGACCACTTTAGCATTCGACCTGCCATGTCTGGTCGGCCTAAGAGCCGTCTCACAGGCTAGTCTGTTCGTACGACGATCGTGTGTACGAGGAAATAATGTATGAGCCTTTTCGCCGCGTTGACAAGGGCCAACGCCACCTTCTCGATCTGTTGGTATCTGACCTCGGGTCCCTGAAGTGCTTTGCTCGTGAGAAACACGAGTTTTTGACCTCCAGGAGTCTTGCGAATGAGGGCCGCACTGAAGGCTTTGACGGAGACGGCCAAATATAGGAATAACGTCTCCCCGTCTAGTGGTTGTGATAGTACGAGCGGCTGTGAAAGGCTCTGCTTGAGATGGAGGAGGGCTCGCTCACATTCCTCGGTCCACTCAAAAGCTACCTCCTTGCACAAGATTTTGAAAAATGGAAGGGCGTGTTGAGCAAATTTCACAATGAAATGGGAGAGCAAGGCGAGCATACCGTTCAGGACTTGTATGGATTTTTTTGAATTAGGTGTAAGAAGGTCAGAGAATGCCCGACATTTGTCGGGGTTGGCTTCGATTCCTTGTTCTGTTAAGTAAAAACTGAGGAACTTGCCTGCCTTAACCCCGAAGGTGCATTTCTCGGGGTTGAATCTCATTCTACATTGCCTTGCTTGGGAAAATAATTTTCTGAGATGCACAACATGGTCGATGTTCACTCGAGATTTGGCGATCATGTCCTCCATGTATACCTCGAGCATATCTCCGATCTCGTTGCCGGAAGACTTTGTTCATCATCTGCTGGTATGTTGCCCCTGCATTTTTCAGACCGAAGGGCATTATGTTGTAGTAATAATTTCCCGAGATGGTCATGAAGGAAGTGCAGTGTTTGTCGCTCATTGCCATTGGGATTTGGTTATATCCCAAATAGGCGTCCATGAAAGATAAAATTTTATAGCCGGCCGAGTTGTCGACCAACATGTCAATATTAGGCAAGGGGAATGCATCTTTGGGGCATGCCCGATTAAGATCGGTATAGTCAACACACATACACCATTTTCCATTATTCTTTTTAACAAGTACAACATTTGACAGCCAGGTTGAATACTGGGCTTCAGAAATAAAATTTGCCTCTAGGAGGTCTTTTACAGCTTTTTCAGCAGCCTCCGTTTTCTCAGGGGACTACCTACGCCTACGTTGTACTATTTCCCTAGCGGCTGCATCAATGGCGAGTTGGTGACAGGCAACCTCGGGATCGAGACCAGGCATCTCCGCAGCACTCCACGCGAACAGATCTGCATTCTCCCTCTAGCAAGCCTTAATCTGCTTCCTCGCCAGGTCGGGGAGTCTGGTACCGATCTTCATCCCTTTGTTCGGGTCTTCACCGAGAGGGACGAGCTCAAAGTCCCCATCCGAAATTGGTCGGAGGAGGTCCTGCTCATCGTTGGGTGCTTCGTCTTGGTCAAAGTGGGTGTCCAATGAGATTGAGTCGACCTTTGGAGGAGCACTCTGTACTTCTGCCTTGATGGGCTGTGGCTCTGACTGTTGTGGCTATGGTCACGCTGTTGTAGCTCTCTTGGTGGGCCATGCCCCAGTGTCGATCGTGCTTTTTCCCTTGGCCGCCGCATTGGAGCATCTTCGGGCAGCTTTTAGGTCGCCCTGGATGGTGGTGACGCGTGCCTTTTTTGTGTAGAACTTCATCTTCAGATGGACGGTGGAGGGTACCGCGGCCAATTCTGCCAGTGTCGGTCTCCCTAGAATGCAGTTGTAGAGAGACGGGCAGTCGATGACCATGAAGCACACCTTGACTTTCCTGGTGGCAGTATCTTTGCCGAAGGTGACCATGAGCTCCACGTACCCCCATGGATTGGAGGTAGAGCCGTTAAAGCCTTACAGGTTGGACCCCACGTATGGTGAAAGGTGAGAGTCATCGAGCTGCAAGGTTCTGAAGAGTTGGTTGTACATCACGTTGACGGAACTTCCCTCATCGACCAAGACGTGATGAACATCAAAGTTAGCCATTCTCACCCTGATCAGAAGAGGGACAACTGAATTAGGGGCCCCTCCGGGAAACTCCTCGAGGTAAAAGATAATTGCCTCCGATCTGCCCTTAACCCTCTCGATAGTCACCGTTTTCGGG